ACCCTAAAGAGCAGCCCAAGGCGCCGCACCGAGCAGAGCTCCCTGGCATCGCAGAGCCCGGCACTTACGTCCCGGCCGGCCGCCCGGAGCTCGTGAATCTCCTTTTGTGGGATGTCAGGGTCTAGGGTTTAGGGTTTGGGATATCAGGGTACTGGTCGAAGGGATCCTACGATTCGGTTGAGGGTTTAGGGCTGTTGGGCTTGAGGGGCCCTCTTCTTTCAGGGGGTTTAAGGTTTTAGGGTCCTTTTAGTAAGGAGCCTATGATTCCTTTAATGGTTCCTTCAATAGGGATCCGATGATTCCTGTAAGGGTCCCTGGAACAAAGATCCTATGATCGTTGAAATATCCTTCTCGTAAGGATTCTATGATGCCTTCAAGGGTCCTCAGAATAAGAGTCCATTAGGTTTAGCATCCCTTTCAGACCAGGATCGCCACAGAAAGTCTTGATCGGCTAAAGGATCCTCGCAATAAGTCTCAGCATGCATGGTCTATGGGGGGGGCCCGAAACTAGACCCTGAACCCTTCTTGAGAAAGCATCTGCGGGATGAAGAAGAGTTCTGCACCGGATTGATGGTAAGGATCCTGCCTCAGCCTCATCACATTAAGGACCCTACTATTCATATGGGTAGTTGTCAAACTTATGGTCCCGTTTTGGGTACCCTAAATAATAGGTGCCGTACTATATTAGGGACCCAAAAATAAGGGACCATAATTTTGACAACCACCCAATATCGGTTCTAGGGTAGTTTAGGCTTTAAGGCAGCCTGGGGTTCGGTTGTGAAAGTATACGGTAGTTCCCTAAACCCTAAACCCTAAACCCTAAACCCTTTTGGCATAATTGAGGCGTTGGGGCAGCTTAGGGCCTCTGGTAGGATCCCTTTTGGGGTCTTTGAGGTAATTTCAGCATAGGGCTTAGGACAGAGGGTTTAGGATTGAAGGCGGATCCTAGCACTACATGGGGCATTCAAGGCACATGATTCCTAATGTAGGGGCCTTCATTAGTAGAATAGGTTTTTTTGGGGGGGGGTATATTCTACTATAATTATAATAAGGAACCCCCAAATAACTTTGGTAATTATTTAAGCCCCTAGATTCAGCGAAGCTGTTAAGGGAGATCCGGGTGTCCTGGGCCGCTGCGGCCCAGGCCATGGGCGCTCTGGGTGGCAACCGGCAGTCAGCGAGGTCCACCTCGGGGTTAAGGGTTTAGGGTTTAGGGTTTAGGGTTTAGGGTTTAGGGTGTAGGGCTCAGGGTTGAAGGTTGAGTGTTTAAAGTTCGGATTCATCTTTGAGTGTCTAATGGGTGTCAGCAGGTTCTTGTTCAAGAGCGAAACTAAGTTTTTGAATTGATACGGAAAAGCGTAGATAGTACGTTTCCTGATTATTGCGGTGGCTTCAAATATTTCTCCTGTGTTGAGAGCGCCCATTGGGGTTTGGGGCTTCAGAGTAAGGGGGGGTAATTGGTGCTTGCATGATAAGATGCTAAACCCTAAACGCTAAACCCCTAAATCCTAAACCCCAAACCCCTAAACTGTTGTCTAAACGTCATGAAGACCCCTAAAATCTTTGAACCCTGCAAGGCCTCCTAAAACGCTGATGGATCCGTACATCCTCAGACCCCTACATGACAGTAGTTCTGTCTGCACTCTCGCAAGAAGAGCAAAACGCGAGGCGGACCACCCTAAGCCCCAAAACCCCTAAACCCTAAAACCCCTAAACCCCATAAACCCTAAACCCCTAAACCCCTAAACCCTAAACCCCCCAAAGCCTAAAACCCCTAAACCCCTAAACCCAAAACTCCTAAACCCCTAAACCCTAAACCCCTGAACCCTAAACCCCCAAACCCCTAAACCCCTAAACCTAAACCCCTAAACCCTAAACCCCTAAACCCTAAACCCCTAAACCCTGAACCCCCGAACCCTAAAACCCCTTAAACCCTGAACCTCAGCTCTCCCGGACCTCCCAAGTGTCCTGCTCGCTGTACCGCGCCGAGGCCAAGAAGAGCCTGTGATCGCGGGTTTAGGGTTTAGGGTTGAGGGGTTTCGGGGGCTTTGGGGTTTAGGGTTTTAGGGGTTTGTGTGGTTTAGGGTTTTAGGGGTTTGGGGTGGTTTAGGGGTTTAGGGTCTTGGGGGTTTAGGGGATTTGGGTTTTTTAGGGATCAGGGTTCGGCGCCACTAGGGTTTAAGGTCAGGCTTGGGGTTTCGGGTTTGAATGTGAGCGACCGGAGTCTTGCATTGTCAGCACCAGCGGCGCAAGATCAGGAAGAGCTGAAAGAACGAAACACGAGCGACCGGCACCACCGCAAGCACAACAGCAGCAAGAGGCTTCAGCCATTCTTTTGTTCCGATGTCAAGTACTCAGCACGAGTATTTTGCATTGGTGTGGGGCCACCAAGATCAGGGCTCGGCGAGACAGGGATGCCAAAATCAGAGCATCTCTACATTTGGGGATTTCAAGGCGTGCCGTGCCTGAACTTGTGGGCACCTATCCATTTCCGCGTTTGCCGACTTCGGTGAGTGCCATGTGCAAAGTCTTACACTGTTGACTACCTTCCTCATTTCCGGGAGCTTCCATTAGGCAGGTCATAACCTTCGTGCGATGATTGCGGAAGCTTTCGTAAAATGTAAAATGCCATGGAACCGACCCCAAAACAAACCTACAGCCCATTGCTTGAGGTCCGACTGCAAGCAGCCCGCACTCCCGCCGGGCCTCGGCAGGCCTTGTGCGGCTGAGAAGCCTTGATTGATACAGGCAGGACCTGCTACTACTTGAAGGATCCTGGGAACTTCTACGGTGCCGCCGCAAGAAGCTCGAGACTTTGGGTTTGAAAGCCTATGCCTATGCGTCTGAAGCGTTAGAGGGTTCAGAGGTTGACTAGGGTTTGTGGCAAAAACTCACATCATCCTCCTCTTCGAGTTTTTTGTCGTCCAGCTGCAAGCGAGGACTGCAGAAGAAGCTCACGCTTAGACAAGAAGAAAGTCCCCCAGCTGTCGCCACGGAGCAGACGGACCAAGACATGTAGAACTGCTCGTAGTTCGTCTGCACCTTTTGCGGCCGAACGTCTACCAAGTCTCTCAGTTCCGGGTTGCCTGCTTGGGGTTTAGGGCTTAGGGGTAAAGAGTTTAGGGGTCAGGGGTTTAGGGTTTAGGGCTGAGGGGTGTACGGGTTTAGGGGTTTAGGGGTTCAGGGGTTTAGGGTTTAGGGTTTAGGGGTTTAGGGTTTGGTTTTTTTTTGTTAAGGGCCCCTTTTCGTGTCAGCAGACTGCGTCGCGACGTTTAGGGCTTAGTGGGCTATTGGCCCCCTCTCACAGCGACTTGGCCCCCCCAATGAACTACTGCTCACATCGAGTCTGCATGTTCTGCTCCTACAGGAGCTCACTACAGCTTAGCCGGCTGCATCTTTATCGGAGAGAGGGCTCCGGGTTGTTCAGGGTTCGTACATTGCAGGGTTTAGGGTTTGGGGTAAGCCTAAACCCTAAACCCTAAGCCCTAGTATGGGCTTGAGCAGTTTGGACCGCGAGCGTCTTGGAATGATGCCCAGTTCTTGGTGTCAATACGATTGCTACCAGTACCAACAGTCCCCTATCAGGGTTTAGGGTCCTTACGGTGCAGGGTCGGGGTTCATGGGCTTAGGGCTGTTGTGGCTAGCGGCATCACAGTTCACTTTGAGGGCTACGAAACGTGCAGTCAAGCAGCCCCATTGGCGTGTGTCACCATGGACTCCGCCCCCACCTCTGCTTGGCTCACTTGTGAGTCTGAGAATCGCAAAACGAATTTATCTGCTTCTATTTATAAACGGGCGTGCCTGTTTCCCGGAGTTTCGAGTTCGGGGCCCTGCGTTGTAGGCTTTGGGTCTGGAGCGCGAACCAACAGTCCAACAACTTCCAACATGTTTGCCCTTCTCCGAATGCAAAAAGCCCAAGCCCCTTCACCCTACACCCTCAACTATAGAACGGGCAGCGCCTTTGCACAGCGAGAGAACAGTAGACGGCTGGTGATTACAGCGTAGACTGCCTCAGGCGCTTCATGGTTAAAGGTGGCGTGCTGCCACCATACAGTAACAGTCTACAAGAGGGCTTCTATTAGGGCCTTATACTATATCTGTATTATACCAGAGTTTCTCCTCCACAATCTTACCCTGATTTCATGACGCATCGCACGTTAATCATGGAGCTTCTATCTGAGAGTAATGTAGGGGCCTAAATAATTCACCTATACTATTTTGGGGGGTTCCTTATTATAATTATACTATAAGGGATTCCTGTAAGACACTATACTATCATATATTCTAAGATACTGTAATATCCTCTAAGATGCTGTACTACAATATACTGCAAGATGCTAGACTGTAATTTATCATAATGTGAACCCAGCAATCCCGAGGCTGAAACGCCCAGCCCAGCCGCCATCAAGTGAGTGCACCACCTCTCTTCCATCGGCCCGAAACGGGGGTCCTCACTCGGACACAACGTTTGGGGCTTCAGGATTTAAGGCTTTCGGGGCAGAAGCTTGAAGAACCTAAACCCCAAACAGAGTGTTCGGCGGCGTGAACGATCAACAAAGCGCTTGGGGAACACTCTGCCATGTTGAGACGGGGTCATATAAGAACCAAAGTACAGGCTGATCAGTGCGAACCTGCTGCAGACCACTGAGGGTTGAGGGCTTAGCGAGGATGAAGGTTCAGGTCTAGAGTCTAAAGCGGACATGATCATAGTCATAACTTTGAAAACCTAAAACCTCAACCCTAAGATTACTGAACCCTGTTGCTGGTATTCAACCTTGGCATCCTCACCGCCAAACAACTGGGTCCAGATCCACATATATACACATATATGTGTGTACATAAACATATATGTATATATGTCCTCGGAACCTCCACATAAAAAATGCCATGCCCTCCACCTGACCTGTTGCTCAAGCCTACACCGTTCGCACCTGCACCAGAAATCTCTCAGTCCCTGCACTCCTGAAGCCTCAACCCTGAACCCCCAAACCCCTGATCTCCTGGGTGAAGCCCGGCGGGAGGCAGTAGGCGATGATTCTCCGCAGCAGCCGTGGGTTGGGCTTCCTCCAGCGCGTTGTGCGGGTTTCGGAAGTTTCGGGTTTGGCTTTGGGGTCGCTTGTGGCATCTTGCGTCGTTCACGGCGTCTTGGGGTTCCGAGTTCAGGAGTCAGAAGTTGTAACGGCGCCGATGGTGCTGCTGGTGCTGGGGGGCGATGATGCGCGCGATTGTGGTGGCAGTCATGATGTATAATTGAAACAGATATGTATATGTGAAAAACATGGTGTTAATGATGGTGATGAGGCTGGTGATTCTGCGACTTACGTTGCCAATAGAGCGTCATCGGCTGCACCACCGCATGAGCATTGGCGGTCAGCAGCAGCCGCGCTTGCTCAAAGGCAATCTGCCGCTGTGCGCCGTCCGACTCACGTAGAAGCAATCGCCGACCCAACCAGTACCTCGGTTGAGGCTTAAGGGCTTACGAAGGAATTTGGGAGCCCTACCTGTACACAAAAAACAACAGACACGATGACTTAAAGAGTCCAATGATCATCACCATCATCATCATCATCATCATCATCATCATCCTCATCATCATCATCATCATCATCATCATCATCATCAGCGTCATCCTCATTATCATCACCTTTCCACTATCACAGGGCACCGAAACAAAAACACTAGCAAAAAATGGCGCAACAAGAAAGGCCCCAGCGTCTGCTTCCAGGCCCCACTTCTTCCTCGGCCCCTGGGCTGCGGAGGCCGGCAGAGAGTTCGCGGGGGTCGGCCGCCCAGGCTGCCTGGAAGGATCCAGGGCCGTTTTTGTTGCTTTGAGAGGTTGGGTTTTAGGGTTTAGGGTTTAGGGTTTAGGGATTGGGGATTGGGGTTTGGGGTTTGGGGTTTAGAGTTTAGGGATTTAGGGATTAGGGTTTGGGGTTTGGGATTTAGGGTTTAGGGTTAGGGCTTGGGGTTTAGGGTTGAGGGTTCGGCGAAAGTGTTGGTTTCATTGATTTAAGGGCTTCAGAGGTGCTCGATACAAGGGCTTCATATTGGGACGCTACAAGGGGCTGTCTGGGGTTTGCACACGAGGTTTTCTGGGCTCCTTTTGGGGGGTTCTATCTGGGTGTTGTAGGGGCTCTGTTAAGGCTTCAGACTTGTCTTGCCTACGCCCTAAACCCTGAACCCTAAATTCTAAACCCAAAACTCGAAACCCTAAACTCGAAACCCTACACCCCAAACCCTAAACCCTAATCTCGAAACCTTAAACCCTAAACTCTCGACTCGGGCTTAGGGCCTGGAGGGATCAGGCTGGAGGCCATAAGGGTTTGCTTTTTTTTGTTTACGGCCTTTAGGGTTTAGAGACTCTAGGCCTGAGGATCTTTAAGGCTTAAGGTCTCTAGGGCCTAGGGTTAAGGGTTTTAGGGTTTAGGGTTTAGGGTTTAGGGTTTAGGGTTTAGGGTTTAGGGTTTAGGGTTTAGGGTTTGGGGGTTTAAGGGTTTAGGGCTGAAGAGGGCTTAAGGGTTTAGGGTTTAGGGTTGTTGAGGGTCCTATGGAAAGAATTTAAGGCCCTACAGGCGTGCTGGAAAGGCTTCTTAGTGCCCGTATAAGGCTTGGAACAAGAAATCCAAATGTTTTTGAGGGTTGCCCCAAGTTTTTTTGGAGCTTCTTTAAAGGTTTGAGAGGTGATACCGCCTGCCCTGCCACAGCCTTACCCTCGACTCCGCACTCTGAACCCGCAAACCCCAAACCCTGAACCATATTAAACCCTAAACCCCTAAACCCTAAACCCTAAACCACTAAACCCTAAACCCCTAAACCCCTGAACCCCTAAGCCCTAACCCCTAAACCCCTAACCCCTAAACCCTAAACCCCTAAACCCTCAACCGTAGGGATTGGGGACGGTTCGGATGTCCGACCCCGACCCGCCCAAGGCGGTTTGGGGGAGGCGGGATGCCCCTTAATTAAGGAATGCCAGGTATAGCTTAAGTATTAAATGGTAATATTAAAAGGTTCTATGATTTAAGATATACCTTAAGAATCCAAAAGCTACTTTTTTTTTGTAGGGTCCCTATAAATCCCATATTAGGGTTTATAATAAGAACCTACAAAAAAGTGGGTTTTGGGTTCTTAAGGTATTCCTTAACTAAGGGGTATTGGGTTCTCTGGCGGCCAGGCCGCACAGATGCACGAAACGCCAAACACCCGGGAGGCTCGTGCTGTAGAGCCGGGCATGCCACCTCTGGGGTTTAGGGGTTTAGGGGGTTTAGGGGTTTAGGGTTTAGGGTTTAGGAGTTTAGGGGTGGGTTTCTGGTTTACCTTGGGCCTTCGGATTCGCATTTATACAGAGGTTTGGAGTATTGAAGGGGGTTCAAGCGGCTTACAGGATTGCCCCTCAAGAGTAAGGGCACCCTTTTTAGGGTTTAGGGTTTAGGTTTTGCCCTAAACCCTAAACCCTAAACCCTAAACCCTAAACCCTAAACCCTAAACCCTAAACCCTAAACCTTAACCCTAAAGATAGGGATGACCTGTACAAGGGCACTACTGGGCGACCGAATTGAGAGGGGCTTAGCATTCCCGAGGCTCCCGGCTGAAGGTAGACGCCCTGTAAAAGCCTCCAAACCTCGGCAATGCCCCACACGGCCCTGAACCCTATAATGTCGGGGCCTCGATAACTAGAATAAGGTTTTGGGGTCTATTATACTACACTATAATTACAATAAGGAGCCCAGAAAATAGTATAGGTAATTATTTAGGCCCCTGTAATCAATCCTATAAGCCCGTAAATAAAATCCGACAGCGAGGGTACCCCTTCTTCGGGGCTCATTCTGAAACCGGATGTCGTGTGGCAGCTCCGCTGCAACTTGGCGTAGGTCTTCTGCACTCTGAGACAGTATAACTTTAATAGGGGTATTAAGGGTGCCAGAATGAAACTGAATCGCAAATCGTAGCTCACACAGCACCAAATCGTACCGCGAAGACTCCGAAACACGAATCATGCCTGCGACCCCCAACCGGAAACCCGAAACCACCTCTATGTAAACCTCCAGACACCCCGTCTAAAACTCACAGGATACCCTAAAACATCGTATAAAACAGAACAAAACCCTGAACCCAAACAGAACAAAACCCTAAACCCAAATGATCGACTCACCCGTTGCTTCCTGGTCTGAATGCCGACAGGGAGCCGGCCGGCCATTTCCAAACGCGCCAGGGAGAGCCCGTCCAGGAAGCAAAGTACATCGCAAAGTAAGCCTGGGGGTTGCAGGGTTCGGAGACAACCTTAACCTACTTCCTAATAGGGATTTTCTAGGGACCCTAGAAAAAAGTAGGTTTTGGTAGGTTAAGGTAGGGTTTACGGGTTTAAGGGTTTACGGGTTTAGGGCTCTTGCCTTGCTAGACCTAGAAGAGCAAGGCTGGCCCATGTGGAGGATCGGTGGCACTTCGACGCATGGACATCCGCCGTTTCGTATCTATGTATGTAGGTAGGTAGGTAGGTAGGTAGGTAGGTAGGTAGGTAGGTAGGCAGGCAGGTCGGTCGGTCGGTCGGTCGGTAGGTAGGTAGGTAGGTAGGTAGGTAGGTAGGTCGGTAGGTCGGTAGCCAGG